CTCTTTCCCCTCCGCACCTTGCCCTTGGGCTGGTGCTGGCGCTGCCCTCGGTGGCGGAGGCTGCACTGGGGACGCCGTGTGCCAGGGCCGAGGCCCTCGATGTGTCTCAGGCCCCGGCCACAGGGACCCGGCTCAGCTCCACCGGCGAGCTTGGTGCTCGAGGCTTCTTTGTGGCTGTTGGAGGCATCCCTGGGTGGCTAAACCAGGGCTCCAGGATCCGAGGGGCGAGGACGGGGCAGGACGAGGTCGAGTCCCAGCTGTGACTGGTCCTGGGGCAGATGTGGGTGGGAATGCAGCTCCGCAGCTCTGCGGGGACAGCAGGAACGAGGCGTCTATGCTCAGCACCGCGCCCGGCGCTTTCCATGGATTACCGTGTTCATTTCTCACTGAAACCTTATGGCGTAGGAGCCAGTCATTGAGGAGGAGGCTGGGCCCAGTGAGGTTGGGTAACCGGGCCGGGTATCCCAGCGTGAGCTGCGTGGAGCGGGCTTCACGCCCGGACAGCCACCTCCAGAGAGCCGGCTGATGCCACACTGCCCTAGGGTGGGGCGGGGGGAGCAACGGTCCTCGAGTCTGTCCCCCCAACACACCTATAAGCAGGTGGTGGCCCTGCGCAGCTCTCAGGGCTGCTGGGAAGAGAGGCACGTAGGGGAAACTCATGCAGGTGGGACACACGGCGGGCTTGCGGTGGGCCGGTCCTCACTGCCCCGACGATGTCCCACCGTGGCTGCAACCTGCCTGCTCCCTCTCGCCCTCCTACACTGGGTACGGCTCAGGAGGGCACTCAGTGTCTGCAGGGATGGCCCCTGGGCAGGTGTCTGGAGCCCAGGGTGTCCAGGCACCATTGTCCCTCTGACCTTGGACCCATGGAGGGCAGGGCTGCCTGCTGCTCCCACCTCGCCCCGGCCCGCGTGGTGGAGAGCGCAGAAGCCGGAGCGGCTGCCCCGGTCCCCAGGGCCCCGGAGCCACGTACCCTCTCGGTGCCAGCTCACAGCTGAAGGGTTTGCTCCTCGCTGTCGTTTTCGCTGTCTTCCAGCTGCTCCAGGATCTCGTCCAACACCACAGACCGCTTCTTCTTTGGGGGCTCTGTGGGAGCCCAGATGGCACGAGAGGAGAAAAGAACAGCAGAGAGGGTTGGGAGGCAGGAGAGGGGAATGACAAGGTGGGGGGAGGGAAGGGATGAGAGAACGGGGGTGCAGGGACAGAGGGAAATGAGGACAGAAGGGAGGGACGTGGCGGGAGGGGGACAGAGAAGGGACAGGAGCAGCGAGAAGAGAGGAGAGGAGGAGGAGGAGAGAGAAGAATACTGGGGTTAGTCTCCAGCTTCTCCATGGGGCGCTGCCTCTCTTGCAGCCCCAGAAACTCCTCTGCTCGCCCGGCCGTGCTCCCTGCCCTCCTCCCCCCAGAGGGAAGGATTCCCTTAGGAAAAGGGGGTTCCCGTCTAAGCTGCCTGCTCCTAGCAGGTCAGAGTTTGGCCTGGGGGGAGCTGAGCCATGCATGGGGCAATAGCTGGGGAAACAACGGGGAGCTGGTCCTGCTAGCTTGGAGGTTACAGACTCTCATGGTATAGTAAGTGGCTGGCATGCACAAGGTGCTCAATAAATGGTGGCTGGTGACTAGGACAGATGAAAAGCTCAAGGATTCCAGGGGAGGTACAGAAGGAAGAGCAATTAGAGGTGGCTTTGGAGAGGAGGGGCTATTTGACTTGGGCTTTGAAGAATGCAGAGGAGTTTTCTGTGAGGAGAGGGGATTCAGACTCATGGCATGAAGAAAAGCATGGAAGTATGAGAGGGCATGGTGGGCTCAGCAACGTATATGTGTTGTGGGCTGCACATATTGACTGGATGCCTACTGTGTGCTACATACAGCTCTACCTCTCGACAACCTCACAGGGAGGTACTGCATTGCCTCCTAGAGTTGGGGGAACTGAGTCACAGACAGGTAGGTCTAAGGTCACCCAGCTAGGAAGTGGTGGAGCCAGAATTCAAACCCAAGTCACGCCTGAGCCCACAGTCTTTCCACTTTTCATGGAAGTGCCCGGTGCCAACCAGAGGGTGCCAGGGGAAGATGTGCCGGTCCCCGGGCCCTTGGGGAAGGGCATGGGGCTAGTCCAGCCACTCAGCAACACACAGCCCCTCACAGGTAGGCCTTGACTTGTCCAGCGACGGCAGAAAGCAGCTGGCCAAATGCTCCCCCTTCCATGGCTCAAACACCTCCTCCTGCATGAAGCCCTCCGGGTGGAACAAGCCACCCCCTGGCCCTGGGGCCCCATCTCCCCCCGGGCTGGGAGCTCCCTGCAGCCGCTGCATCTTTGCCCCAGAGCCCCCAAAGTGCCTGGCCCAGAGATGAAAACTCTCTGGGCCCTTCTGGGTGGTCTTGGGCAAGTGATTTTACCTCCCGGGGCCTGTTTCTTCATCCCATCCCTCCCAGATCAGTCCGCACACCCACCCCTTCTCATCTCCACGGCTGTGCCCTGATGCAAGCTCCTCTCACCTCCTCAACGGACCCCTGCCCCCTGGGGACTCCTGCCAAGCGTGTGCGTCAGGTCCCACCGCTCCCAAGTGCCCTGGAGGCATCACTGGAGCTGGCCCAACGCCCCCCAAGACTCTCGCACCTGCAGTGCCCAGATCCCCCTTCGTCCCCCAGCTCCGGAGCCCCCACCCTGCTCTGCGTCACAGTGCTTCTCAACGCTGATGCCGCAGCCGGCATTTCTTTGTCTGGGACGTTGTCCCGCTCACTGCTGTGTCCCTGGCCTTAGCACACTGCCTGGCACCTAGAGGGTGCTCGGGAAATGCACCCAACGGGGGATGGGCGAACGGAACTGATGGGGGTGGGGAGGCACCCGCCCGCCCGCCTGGGAGGCTCAAGGCCTGGCAGCTGTACCCATCATTGTTAATCATGAAAAGGGAGAGGGGGACAGGGTGGGCTGGGGGGGCTGGCAGCCCCAGGCTCAGACACCGGCTTCCTTTCCCTCCTCACTCCCTCCCTCCTCGATGCTCTGGTTTTCTTATAATCGCCAGGCTCTAGAGGTACACAATGGCCTCTGGAAATTGAATTCGTGGGCAGGTAATAGGAGCTGGGAAATAGAAGTGCAACAAAATAGGGCCTGTGGGCTTGTCACCGACGCCCCCTCCCATCTGCTCACATGGGGGGGAGCGGGGCAGTCGCTCCTGGGGTGGGGTCCCTGCTCTCCCGGGCAGGGCTGGCCTGGCAGCGTGAACACAGCTCTGAGACGCTGGCAGGGGCGAGTCTGATCTCCATCCCTCATGTCAGCTCAACCTTTAAAGCAGATCCGACTCGAGAGCACTTTTTCCCCTGCTGCTGTGCCCTGGGCCACCCTCTCTGGCTTCCTTGTCCTCCCCACCAGAGGGGCTCTCGAGTGGCAGTCGGAGGGATCTTGTGAACACCTCCGTCAGAACGTGCGGCTCCTGTGCCCAGACCCTCCGCTGGCGCCATCTCACCTGGGGAAAAGCTGAGGCCTGGTCGCCTCTCCAAGTCTCCCTCCCTGTCCCCGCTCCTGGTTCCCACTGTGCACACCTCAGGGCCTTTGCCCAGGCTGGTCCCTAACTCCTGGCCTCAGGCGATCCTCCCGCCTCAGTCTCCCGGAGTGCTGGGACTGCAGGCGTGAGCACGCACCGGCCCTGTTTCACGTGTTCACTTTACTGCCTCCCTCCCTGCAATGCCAGCTCTAGGAGGGCGGGTTCTGGTCTGTGTCACCTACTGCTACTCCCCACGCCCAGAACAGCACCTGGCACACGTGTGCAGTGACTGACTGAATGAACGACAGGGGAAACTGAGGGTCTAGTGTTGCAAACTGCTGAAGGACCAACAGAAGCTGAGAAGGGCCCAAAGCATCCCTCATGGCCTTCACGTGTGTCCCCATTCCTGCACATGACAGAGACGTGTGGAGCTCTGGGCTAGATACCGTGGGGACCAAGACTGGCTCTGCTCCATCCAGAGCGTGCTGGTCCAGCATGGGAAATGGAAAAGATAACAGATGGCTGTGCCTCAGTTTCCTTCTCTGTAAAACGGGGATATAAGGGGTTGTGCTGAGGCTGCCACGAGTGGAAAGAGCAACCCCTGGCCCTGGCGAGGGCTCAGCTGATGGTGCTGGGACCAGCATTTGTGTCCCTACCACTGACACGGAAGGCGTGATTTCACGGCTCTTTGCCAACAGGGCGGTGAGCGCCAGCAGGGAGGGGCTCTCGTACATAGGAAGGCTGGTACGCGACAGGCGATCAATAAAGAGCCCTCAGGGAAACAGTGAAACCATTTGGTTCCTCAAGGCCAAGGAGGCGTGCTCACCGGCCTCCTCACTTCACAGGGACACCCACTGACTCGCTGTGGGGCCAGGGACGCAGAAGGCGTGCTGGTGGTGGCTAACCCTGTGGCCGTGTGACCTTGGGCAAGTCACCTCAGCTCTCTGGGCGTCACAGTTTCCTGTCTGTACAGTTAAAAAAACAGGGGCCATCTCAGGGGGGCGGCTGTGAAGATTAACGAGCGCAGGGACAGAGCCCGGCACACCTGTGGGCCCGAGACTCAGGACCCAGGACCTCGCTCCCGGCCCGGCGCCCTGGCTGACGGCCACTGCCAGGTTCAGGCTGGGCCCCCCACTGCTCCCCCTGAGGATGCGTCAGGCCCGACTTCCCATCACATGACACCCCCCCCGCCCCCCGCCGGCCCTGCTTCCATGCAGAGCACCCAGCTTGCAGGGAACAGCTGCTGAAATCCCACTTCCCCGACATCAAAAGCCTCAGTGGGTTTTCACCAAACAAACATAATGCAGAACCGGAGAAAGGTGTAAAATAAATAAACGAAACAAGCTGTGCATTTTCTTTCAGTATTACAGCTGCACCCGAAGATAAACAACAAGTGAATGTCACCAAACATCAATACCCGAGAAATTAACTTGACAAAAAGCTCAGCCGTCCCCCAACAACCCCCCAGTCCTGCCCCACTCCCCCCCAACCTCCAACCACCATTTTTGCATTTCTGGAGTTCCCACCTAATGATTTTATTTTTCAATTAATTCCTTGACAGAATGCCAGCCTGCATCTCTCCCTTCCCTGGCGCTGGCGCTGGCGGCCCGCGTGGAAGGCACAGGCAGAGAGAAAGGTGCGGGCGGGGGCGGGCGCTGACGGGAGGACAAGGGAAAGCGCTGCACGGGGTTTTGTTCCAGGCAAGCCGGGAGACGCACGTGGCTGATGGGGAAGAAGGGCCGGGAGGGGAAGAGAGCCGGGCTGGCAAGCCCAGGCTGGGCTCCGGGTGGAGAGGCGTGTGGCACAGGGTAAAGACTGGCTGCTGGGACCAAACCCTGCGGCTCCTGGCTGGGCCACCTCAGGTAGGTCGCTTCACCTCTCTGGGCTCAGTTTCTGTAGCTGCGGAATGGCGATGGAATTTACAATGCCCACTGCCTAGGGTGCTTAAGAGTATTAGAAGAGTGACGGTGTGCAAGGCCCTCACCACAGCAGCTGGCACACAGCAGGCACTCGATATAGGTTAGCCTTTCTTACCGCTATTAACGGGATCTGTCACAGAGCGCGAGGGCAGGCCGCTTCCCTCCTCTGCAGCACAGGGACGGTGACGCCAGCTGCCATCAGCGCCCCGCCTCCAGCACCAAGGATTTCTCGTGGCTCTGGCGTGGGGCAGGCTGGACGTGCCAGGGAGTTAGGCCCCCAGGAGCCCTCTACTAGCGGGGTGAACGGGGAGCTGGTGGATACGCGTCCCAGGTTCTTTGCCTCTGCCGGGGTGGGGGACAATTCCACGTGCGTGCCACGGCGGATCTGCTCACTCCGGCCCCTGGACGGGCTCCCTGCCTTCCTCCCACACTCCCTGGCCACCGCCCAGGTAACTGCTGGGTGCCCGAATCCACATCTCAGGGGCTGCTTCCTGGGGAACTAAGACACCAGCGTCAAGAGGTGACCAAACGGGATGGAGCGTTCCATCGTGGGCCACCGCAGAGCATCTGAATTTGCTGACGTATCATGAAAAAACCCTCAGTTACCGAGGTTTACACACAGGGAGATGTGACATGAGAATTGGCATCTCTAGTTTCTCTTGAAACCTGTGTTGAGTGTGGCAGACCTGGCCCCACGGGGCCTGTCCCCTTCCCACCCAAGGGTGACTGAGCGTGCACTTGTTGCCCCAGGGACGGGGCAGACGCCCCTGAGTTTGCTACTCTCCTTGAGTAAAGGTTTCCCTCTGCTAAACCGGTGCCGGAACGGACTCCAGGGGCTGGGGGTAGGGGCAGAGTGTGGAGGGTGGGATTCCAGGCGGATCGAGGCACCTGCAGCTTCAGACTCAGTGGCCTGCCGTCCTGTGCTGTTGGGAGTGACACATGGGCTGAGCCCTGAGGGTGCCGGGCACCCCAAGCTGCTGGTGCCTCTGCCTGGGGTCTCTCCCTCCCTGCCCCGCCCCCCCCAGCTTCAGATCTTGCAGCCCCCACGGGCAGGGCCCTCAGATACCACGATGGGCCTGCGTCTTGGGGCTGTTTACAGCAGGCGCACACTAGATGCTCACGGAATGGAGGGCATCTTCAGAGAGGAGCAGCCTGGCTCAGGAGACCAAGCTGGTGGCTCCTTATTGACACAAGGGGCTGTTGCAGGGGATGTGTCTTTTCAAAACACGGCCTGTCCTAAGAGCTAGGCGTGAGCTGAGTCCTTGCTCAGACCTGGCAGGCAGGGAGACCAGGCCCCAGACCTGCTCCTGCCACCTTGGGGACTCCCAGGAGGTGCCAAACCCCACACCTCAGTGCTCCTGTCTGTTAAATGGGGACAATGCTTGCCCTTATGTCACGGGGCCCTAGGGCTCCTGCTCTCCGTCATTCACAGCGCCAAGCCACAACCGTAGAGCAGGGCTCATCTGCGCTCATTGACACCTCATGTCAGACCCCCTATTATTCCTCCCCACACTCCCTGGCCACCGCCCAGGTAACTGCTGGGTGCCCGAATCCACATCTCAGGGGCTGCTTCCTGGGGAACTAAGACACCAGCGTCAAGAGGTGACCAAAGGGATGGAGCGTTCCATCGTGGGCCACCGCAGAGCATCTGAATTTGCTGACGTATCATGAAAAAACCCTCAGTTACCGAGGTTTACACACAGGGAGATGTGACATGAGAATTGGCATCTCTAGTTTCTCTTGAAACTGTGTTGAGTGTGGCAGACCTGGCCCCCGGGCCTGTCCCTTCCCACCAAGGGTGACTGAGCGTGCACTTGTTGCCCCAGGGACGGGGCAGACGCCCCTGAGTTTGCTACTCTCCTTGAGTAAAGTTTCCCTCTGCTAAATCGGTGCCGGAACGGACTCCAGGGGCTGGGGTCGGGCAGAGTGTGAGGGTGGGATTCCAGGCGGATCGAGGCACCTGCAGCTTCAGACTCAGTGGCCTGCCGTCCTGTGCTGTTGGGGACAGTGACACATGGGCTGAGCCCTGAGGGTGCCGCACCCAAGCTGCTGGTGCCTCTGCCTGGGGTCTCTCCCTCCCTGCCCCGCCCCCCCCAGCTTCAGATCTTGCAGCCCCCACGGGCAGGGCCCTCAGATACCACGATGGGCCTGCGTCTTGGGGCTGTTTACAGCAGGCGCACACTAGATGCTCACGGAATGGAGGACATCTTCAGAGAGGAGCAGCCTAGCTCAGGAGACCAAGCTGGTGGCTCCTTATTGACACAAAGGGCTGTTGCAGGGGATGTGTCTTTTCAAAACACGGCCCGTCCTAAGAGCTAGGCGTGAGCTGAGTCCTTGCTCAGACCTGGCAGGCAGGGAGACCAGGCCCCAGACCTGCCCCTGCCACCTTGGGGACTCCCAGGAGGTGCCAAACCCCACACCTCAGTGCTCCTGTCTGTTAAATGGGGACAATGCTTGCCTTTATGTCACGGGGCCCTAGGGCTCCTGCTCTCCGTCATTCACAGCAAGTATTTCTGCACATACAGCACGTGCCAGGCATGGGGCTGAGGACGCAGCAGCGGACATGACCGCAAAGGATAAACCAGGCCGCCTGCTGTGGGGGCCGTGCTGGGGCTCGGTGTGGGACGAGGTGGGACCTTAGCGCTGCCACTCAGGGGTCCCACCTTCAGAGTCCCCGAGTTACTCTTCTACAGACAGACAGGACACAGTGACGCGCCCACAGAGCATGGCTCAGATAAGGCACGGAAGCACCTAGCCCGGGCCTGGCGTTCGGAGAAGCCAAGCGAATGCTCAAAGTACCAAAAGGTCCCATGAGGCCACCCCGGAGGACTGGCAGTGCCCAGCAAATGGAGCCTCCAGGAGCCCAGGTTAAGGCTGAGGGGTCAGCAGCAGGGAGGAGGCAGCAGGTTGGGTGTGGACTTTCTTACAGAAATCCCACCAGCGGGGTGACATCGCTGTCCCATTTTTCAGATGGGGAAGCAGCCACTCTAGGGTTTTGGGAAGTCACATGACCACAGACTCTCCAAGTGGGGCACTGAGCTCAGAATGGGCCGGCTCCAGGGCCTTCCTGTCACACCACAGCAAAGCCTAAGGTGGCGTGGCTCAGCTGCCGGCCCTGCAGTGGCAGGCGTCAGCCCAGGCCTCTCCAGGAAGGAGGGACTCCACAGGAAAGGCGTGAACAGACCAAGCCCCGTCGCAGCACGCAGGTACCTGCATCAGCAGTTTCCTTAAAGGCTGGTGGTTCTCACCCCAGCTGCCCCATAGAATCAGCTAGAAAACCCTGACGGCTGCATCCCGCCTCCAGAGTTCTGATGCAAACGGCCCAGGGCGGGCCCTTAATAGCACAACTACTGTAAATCACAGTGCTAAGGACGGCGGTGGCTCCCTGAGTGGCTGGACGCAGCAGGTGTGGTGGCCGGTGGGTTGACCTCACTGTATGCTCTGGGAGTCCCGGGTGTTGTGTGTGCAGCAGTTCTGGGACTGGCCACCCACACCCCACGGACAGGGCCTGAGACGCGGCCGAGCCTGGGCCTTTCCGGCCGGGTCCTGCATGTGTTTGCGTGGGTTACAGACGCTGGGAAGCTGTGCAGGCCGCGGGCACGGGGAGTGTCTGGGTGAAGGTGGCTCACTACAGAGGGAAAAAGAACCAGAAAAGGTGGGAAGGCGCCCCCCACTCCCCTGCGTCAGGCCTGGGCGTTCTTTCAATGTTTCGGGGTTGGTCCACGTGAGCTCCCTATCTCTCTTCTCTTGGCAAAGGCCCTGGGGTGGAAGCAGAGGCTGAAGGGGAGGAGTTGGCAACATCTCCTTACGGGGCCGAGGCACAACGACGTCTGCACCAGGATCTGTAAGCACCAAGGCTGAGGGGCCAGGTAGGAGTATGATGGGGTCAAACAGTCCGGGGGTGTGAGGGTGACTATAGGGAGGGCCTCAGACTGTGGCAAAAGGAAGCCCACCCTCCACGTAGACGGGCAGCCACTGCTCAGCCCCAGCTACCCCAGAGGAATGTGGGACCAGGGTGTCTGGACCTGGGTTTTCAAGAGAGATCAGAATCTTGATTTTCAGGTCAAATCTTCTAATAGCAAAATAGTGGTGATTAATTAAAAATCATTTTTCCCACATCTTGTAGGCAAAATGCAGATCTGTGGCTGATCTCAGCCGGCACTAACCAGTGGGCCTCTGATCCATTCTCTCTCCTGTCTACAAAAGCATACTAGTTTCACTCGTGGTCAGGAAACAGTGATAAAACCTTGTTTGTGTGTTTTCCTTGCGTTTCTCTGGGCAAGCAAACCTGGCCACCCCCTGCCACCAGCCCCAACCCTGGGGGAAGCCCACCTTCCTCCTGCCCCCATTTCCAGCACTCTGGTCCCCAGGCCCCCAAACCCTCATCCAATCCAGGCCCGGCCCCTGCCCCTCCCAAGTCGCTCTGAAATTCTCCTTCTGTCAGTTTAATTCCGTGATCGATGAGGAAGAGCAGGAGAAATGGCCCGGCACAGCTGGCTCCCCCGTTAGCCCTAGCAGGGATTCCTGGCCTCGCTGGCGACGGCTGAGTGAAATGTTTGCGAAACGCAGAGAACACAAGTCAATAACAATTTAGCTGGATTGGGAGCAAGTACCTTCCCCGCACGGACAGCCGCTCCCCGGGGGAAGGGGGAGAGAGTGTGCAGGATATTGTCGGAGTGCTCGGAAATATTTCCAAAACACCACCCGGTGAGGCTTGGGGCGTGGGGGCCGAGAGGAGGGGGTGACCGGGCAACACCTGCTCCGGCTTCCCTCCAGGCCCCCTGCCTCCCCAGCCCCTCTGCAGGGAGAAGCATCCGGCTCCACGAACGCGGCTCCCGGCTCCCGCACGGCCCGCCAATCGCACCCTGCGAGCAGCAGCTGTCACCTAGGAGCTGCCTTGACCAAAACAATTCCCGCTCCTCGATCTGCCCTCTCTGGATTCTGCCTGCCCCAGCCGGGAGGGTGTGAAAAAGAGCGTGTCTCCCAGCCAATCTCAACCTCTCCTGGTGCCACCTGCCAACGTGACCGGGAGCTGGCGAAAGGACAAAACACAGCCCCCTGGACAGAGAAAGTGATGGTTTCCGAGAGGGCACGGATAAAATGCCTCCTGCACCTCCCTGTACCCCACCCACAGCCTCAACCTTGCCAGGCAAGCCCCTCCGTGGCAACGGGGACAGGATCCCTCTGCCCACCTCCCGCCAGGGCCTTTGACACCTCTGGAGGAAGGGCTGCCACAGCCAAGTCTCAGGGACGGCACAAGAAGGACCTAGATCAAGGAATAAAAATCGGAGCTTACAGAAAACCTCTCTCTCCGGGTCCATGGAAGGAACCACGACAGAGGGATATTTTGAATAATAAATTCTGTGACTTCACATACTTGCTTGAACTTTCCTGACTGTGATTTTTAAAGCCCAGTGATTATGTTTTCATGGGCAAGATCAAGGCGGCCTATTTGCAAGGGCTGACGTGGGGATAACGGGCGCTCTCGGTCTCCAGTCTTTTGAAAATGTGCCATCCTACGAATGATTAAGTTATGGAAGGGGGGCGGGGGGGCTGTTGCAGGCTTTAAATATCATCTGTCTGCTGATGACTTCCAAATTTATATCTCAGCCCAGACTTCGCCCCTGAGCTCCGAACTCATAGATCTATCTGCCTGACATCCCGAGGGGAGTCCTTAATAGGTGTCTCAAACCCGACACGTTCGGAACGCCCCCGCCCACCCACCTGTTCTGTACAGCTTCGTGGTCTCGCCACCGTCCTAGGTGACTTGGAGCAAACACCTACAGACCGGCTTTGATTGGTCCCTGCCCCCCTGAAGCAAGTCCGGCTGGCTCTAACCTTTACCAAAAATGCTCAGTCCGGTTGCTTCTGTCTATGCCACGGCCTCGCCCCCACTGTCCTTCTTGCCTGGACAACTACCTCCACCCTTGTCCCTTTATAGTGCAGAGGATGAGGTCTGACAGAGTAGGTCAGGTCTTGGCACCCCCCCACCCACCAAAATCTGCCAGGGGTGTCAAAGCCAGGCTCCCTGCCAGGCCTGACAAGGACCCAGGAGGGACCCCTGTGGGCCTCTCTGCCTGCTTTGAACGAGCTCTGCCCCAGGGCCCTGCACCTGTGGCTCCTGCTACCTGGAATGTTCCCCCTGGATCTCTGGCTGGCCTGTCCCTTCGAACTGCACAGAAATACTGATCCCCAGAAAGACTTTTTCCAACCATCATATGTGAAATCTCTCCTTCCTCTCTCCTTGCTGCTGAAGAGCTCATTCTGTTATCCTTTCTAACTTCCTCCATGGTGCTTGCTAGCCTCAGAACTTGTTATTTACGTTCTTTTGGTAATCATCTGTCTTCCTCACTCAAATATCAGCTCCCTGAGGGAGGGACCCTCTCTTCTGTTCATTGCTTTGCCCTCAGTGTCTAGAGCATGGCTTGATAATGAGGTGACCAGTGAAGAACTGTTGGTTGAATGAATGAATGAACAAGTGGAGCAAGTGAGAAGCAAAGCAGTGGGGCCACCTTTCTGGGGAAGCCAGAGGGGTCCAGGGGTGTGGTTATGATACCTCGAGAATTATCTGCTCTCTGAGAAAAGTGGGGTCATGGTGGGAGGAATTAGCCACCCCTGGCTTCTAGATAAAGTAAGTAGAGCCATTTGACAAACTTATTCTGTGAGTGACCAGGTAGGAAATATTTCTGGCTTTGAGGGCCACAGGGACCCTGTCACAACCACTCAACTTTGTCCCTGAGGTACAAGAAAGTAGTCATAGGTAATATCTGAACAGATGGGTGTGACTGTGTTTCAATAAAACTTTATTTATAAACACAGACCACAGGCAGTAGTTTGCAATTGCTGCCTTACCAGGATTAGGAATCCAGGTAAAGAGAGCAATCGTGGTTTCAGGAAGTGCTGGAGTGAGAGAGTGCGGTGACACAGGGTTATCTGTTCTGCAGTGCCCAGGGCTGTGTGTCCTCAGACCAGTCACTAGACTGGTCTGGGTCTCACTTTGCACATCAGTAAAATGCGAATAACACCTCTCTCCAGGGAATTCTGCCAAAATGAGGTCACCTATGACCGCTTAGTATTATTCTCTGCACATAGTAGGCCCTGGACAAAGCTCTCTCCCCCTTTCTCTCCTTTTCCCCTGACTTGATCTTTAATAAGAAGTCACATGATTGCCTCTTTTCAGGCCAGTGGTGCTTTGAGCCACCTGGGGAGGAATATCTGGCTTCACACCACGCAGGGTGCTGGCCGCACGCCCGGGGCCTGGAGAACGTTCCCCAGCATCTCAGAGCCCCGGCTTCCTCGCCCGTGCGGCAAACGTGAAGACGAACCGAGCTGACGCCCGCGCGGTACACAGCACGTGTTAGATGCTCGATTCACGCCCTAATCGCCATTCTGATCGCTAGCTTCTTATTTATGCCATGTTCTCACCCCACAGACGGTCACTGAGCACGCATCTGTGCTGGATGCAGGCCACGTGGGCAGGTCCTTGTCCACAGGAAGGTAAAGCCTCACAGGGAGAAGGACCCTTTGGGGAGGATGAGGGGAGGAGGAGGAAGAGGGAATCCAGAGGACAGGAGGACGGGGGGCAAAGTCGAATTTCTGACTCTCTGGCTGAAAGGGGGAGCTGGGGTCAGGCTCCAGCGGTCGGCTCTGTGCTGGAGGCCAAAGACCGATGGGGACAGCCACCCGTCTGTGCCCAGAGAAAGCGTCTCTGGGCGCTCTGCTCGTGGACCTCCCACCCCAGCCTGGCTCGGGCGCGCGGGCGGGGAAGGCGCTGCTGCCAGCCACTTGTCATGCCGGTCATGTCTGCGCTCCCAGCTCTGGAGGTGAAAGGTACCAACGCTAACCACAGCCCATCAGTCCTCCCCAGCTGGAATAAGACAACACGGGGAAGCAGAGCCGCGCTCCCGGCCGAATAAAAGCCTGTTTGCCCGGGCCTCCCCGGCTGTGAGTGCTCTAAAACAGAGGCTTCTGCGGGCGGATTTCTTCCCTACCATTATATTCTCTCGGCTGCGCTCGCAGGTACCGTGGCCTGCCGAGGCCCTGAAAGCTTCTCGATGCCGTGACCCTGCTGCTTTGCAACACGCTTGGGAAGAAAAGGACACAGCCAGTGGCGGACTTTCCTCTTTCTTCCCTCCTTGCTCTCTCTTTTCAAACTCCCACATGCAAGGCGCTGGAGAATAGCACTTCACCTACCACGGGCTGCCGAGCTGGAGATGAGAAATCTGATTCTTGGCCAGGGAGGAAGGAGGGAAGGGAGGGATGGAGGGAAGGAGGGAGAAATGGAGGGAGAGAGGGAGGGAGGGAGGCAGAGGGCAGGGGCAGGAAGAGGACAGGGGAGGGGGGGCGGGTCTGTGGACCATGTCTGCAGACATTTTATTCCCTTTTGAAAGCACCTCTGTTTGGTGTCAAGGTCCTTTGCCTACTCAGGCCAAGTTTTCAAATGACTTTCAAAGACCTGTCCTTTGCTGTTCAATTTGACAGGTGTTTTGCAAGCATCAACTTGCAAGGGAAAACATAATGCCCTGCCATTATGCAGGGGCATCGGATAAAGTGAAGGCTTCCACTTGGAGGGGCGGCGCTGAGGGGTTTAAAACGAGCCGCTTTTGGCTGCCAGCAAGGAACTTGGATGAGCAGAGAGCTCTGGACCTGGCGCTGGGCAACCTGAGTTCCCACGACAGCCTTGGAAGGGCAGACATCACGGTTGCTGTACTACCAGCAAGGAACCCTCCTCCTCCTTGCTCCCGGGGTACTAAGCAGCTCCTCCTGTGTGCCAGGCTCCGTGCTATGCTCTTGGGACACGGGAGAGCAGGCGGCATCTGCAGCCAGATGTTAACAGCCCGTCCTGGGCCATGCTCACACGTGTCAGGCGTGCTCCTCCTCCTCCTCATTCCTCCCTCCCGCCTTCTCTCACTCTCTCTCTCTCAAACGCACGCACATACACACACACGTGCATGCGCTACTGTCCGGGCTTATAAACACCATCTCCCTATAGGCAGCTTCTCCTCTGAGCCCCACGATTCCCCTAACCAGGTGCAAACCTTAGTCCCGCTGTGCTGACCAGCTGAGGCTGAGCGACCTGGCCAAGGTCACGGAACAGGTATGAGGACACACACTCGGGGACAATGTAGGGGCAGCCACCCAGACCAGCTGATACAGACTTAGCACAGCAGGACGGATAAAAGCACAGGCTGGGACCATGGCTCTGCCTTTGGTAGCTGGGTGGTGCCCTTGGGCAAGTTACTTGCCCTCTCTGTGCCTCGGTTTCCTCATCTCTGAAACAGAGAATGACAAAAGCACAGTAAGCCCTTACTTAACATCGATGGGTCCACGGGTTCTTAAAAACCATGACTTTAAGTGAAACAGCGTATAATGAAACCAATTTGACCCTAGGCTAATTGATATAAATAAGACTTAAAATTCCTATGGCATATTTCTGGTCACAAAGATATCATCAGACTTCTAAAGACCCAAATGCTTCTGATACCAAACACTGAAATAAACGTGCACTATATATACATTTAAGAAAAATTAATAAAAACAAGTAAGGTAATTATTTACCCACTTATTCTGGCTCAGGGGCGTGAGTGGCTGAAGCCTGTCCCAGCAGCTCAGGCCACGAGGTGGGAGCCAGCCTTGGCACTCTCACCCTGCCCCCCTACACTGGGACAATGTAGACAGGGCCCGTTCACCTAACAACACATCTTTGGGATGTGGGAAGAAACCCAAGGACTCAGAGAAAACCCATGCAGACAGGAGGAGAGCACGGAAAGTCCACAGTCCCAGGCGGGAATGAATGCTGTTTTTCCCATCAACATTACAATGAAACGACATGAATCGAGGACCTGCTATAATCACCTCCCAAGATTCTGCAGGATTAATACCTATGAAAGCCCATACGGAGACAGTATCTGGCCCCCGAATAAGGGTAACAGATGAAGATTGTTATAGTAATAATAATAATTACTATTATTAAGCTTGAACTGCAAATTGAGCTCTCTACCCTGACCTAGGTGCCTCAGGGACCCGGGGTGGGAGGCACTGGGCTGGTCTCGGAGGCTGGGAAGCCTGGCCCACCAGCAATCTGTTCCCCAGGCCCTCCCGGGGCGGGGGCTGGGGTGTTTGAGAAGCTGAGCCCTCAGGGGCAGGCAAGGCACACCAGGCAGCCATGCTGGGGGCACAGTCCACGATTAGGGCTTTGGCTGGTGCCAAATCTCACTCTATCTGCTCCGGCTGCCTCCCACTGTCCCCGAGTGCGGCTTCTAGGCCACAGTGGCGTCACCAGAGAGCTTCCTGCCAGGCCCTGCCCAATGGTAAAGACGCCTGCCTTTCATCCGTGCCCCGCATTCCACGGGGAGCCCTTTGTAGTGGCCGTGGCGCTGGGCCTCCACCTGAGGCCTGAGTGCCTTCCTGGCAGAGTTCGGCCGAGGCCTGAGCTGGGGGAGGGAACTGGGCACGGCCACCACCTGCCCTCAGAGTCTGCCAGGGCCCTGGAAGTGCCGAACAATGCAGATTTAGACACAAGTGCGCTGGGTCTTTTTCGCCACAGGGGAAGGGCACGGGGCGGGGAGGGG